CTGATGGATAGGTTGGACTCCACCTGTATATTTTTATACATCTTCAAGTTGACATAAAATTATCTAATGATCACAGAGGGGAAAGGTCATACTGGACATTAATCTTCCTTGGAAATTTGGCCAGGAATTCCATACCAGTGGATATTTATGTGTATACATGTACTCTGCCCCAACTCAGGCCAGGGGAAAGCAGTGGTAGCTTAATATATTTGAAAGGTGTAGAAGTGCCGATTTTAGAGGTTTGGGGACATATATTGTGTTAGATTTGTATGGTGAGTTTTGTGTCAAAAGCTGTTTGGGTTTTATAAATAATGCATATACATTACAGGATAACAAAAAATCCCTGGTGACACAATGGTTAAAGCATTCAATTGCTAACAAAAGATTGTTGGCTCAAACCCACCAGCAACTCCATAGGAGAAAAGATCCCTCTGCTCCCATAAAGATGATAGGTTAGAAAACCCAAGGTTAGTACTACCCAATCTTATTGCTATGAGGTAGCTGTGAGTATGAATCAACTCAACTGTACACAATCACACCAGTTGTTGAAAACATGATTTATTGTTAACATTCCTAGATTCCAAATTATTTGCCAAGAATTGTTCTGCCATTGTAGGAGCACCTAGGTACATTAAAAATTAGTAAAAGAAAGAGTTGGATTTTCGGCCAGATGGTATCTCAAATTCAATACCATATAGTTTTCTTATTGGTTATAAGCATTAAGAAATGAGAACTGGACTTCTTATTAAGTTCTTGATGGAAATGATGACATCAGATAACTCAGATGAAATGTGATTTTTTTTCTCATTTTAAATATAAATTATATTGACTGAAGTTTAATGGATTTGATCCTCTGTGTGTTAAATTACCTATAATGATGTAAAAATGTGTCTATATGTGCTTTTACACTGTTTCAGCATCAAAAAGGGTAACTTAGCTTCTCTGCTGACAAGGCTTTCTAAACCCTCACGGGCAGTTCTTCCCTGCCCTATAGAGTTGTTATGAGCCAGAATTGACTTGGCAGTGAGTTATTTTATTTTTTTAATGATATGGAAAAAAAACCTTGGTGATGCAGGCATTAAGCTCTTAGTTAATAGCTGAAAGGTCAGGAGTTCAAATATCAACTGCTTCTCCTTAAAAAGATGTGGCAGCCTACTTCCAGAAAAAATTACAGTCTTGGTAAACCTATGGGAGAGTTCTATAGGATTGCTGTACAATTGCTAAGAGTCAGAATTGACTCAGTGGTGATGGGTTATAGTAATATGTGTGTATATGAACAGGTTTTACCCATATGTTGTTGTTAAGTGCTGTCCAGGCGGTTCTGCTTACAGCCACCCGATGTACAATAGAACGAAACACAGACTGGTTCTAGGCTGTCCTCACAATGTAGTCTTTCACTAAGATAGCCTCATATAATTTTTTAAAAGTTGTTCAAAAGGTTTATTAGTCATAACAGCAACCAAACCCTCAAACTAGATGCATTACCCAAGTAGAAGTACCCTATAGAGTTTTCCAAGGTTATAAATGTTTACAGAAGTAGATTGCCTTACCTTTTTCCTGAGGAGTCGCTTGTAGGTTCACACTGCTGATGTTCCGGTTAGTCCCCCAGCAACCTAGTCCTCTGTGCTCTGGGCTCCTTTTAACAACAACCTAAACCAAAGTGGACCCCACTGCCATTGAGTCATTTCCTACTCTTGGGGTGTCTTAGGCTGGATTTCTGAAATGGTAAAGCTTTATGGTGCAAACAGCCTCATCTTTCTCCTGAGGATTAGATGGTGGGCTTGGGCTACTGATCTTGTGGTTAGCCCAACACCTAATCCAGGGTGCCATCAAGCCTCGTTTATAACAATAGCCACCCTTGTTCATCTAAGTGCAAGGTGGAATCATAAATGAGCCTACCTAGAGATACAATTTTTAATAATTGCTTGTTCTTTAGCCTTAATTGCTATTCAGACATCTAAATATATGTCTTATTTAATTGAAAAGGAAGTCATTAATAGGATTTACATACTACTAAGATTTAGTAGTGTCAGATGTAATCATGTATTCCTTTTTTTCTCTGCCAGACATCCCTCATCTAAGACCAAAGCCAGTGTACATTACTACAATTCGGGACAATGAAAGCATTTACAGTACAAAAATTCCATACATGGCAGCTCGTGTTGTTTTCATTAAGTGGATTGTAACTTTCTTTTTAGAAAAAAAGTATCTAACTACAACACAAAACACTAAAAATGGAGTTGACGTATTGCCCAAAATTATCCAGGTATGTCACTCTTCTTTTCATTTCTTAATACTTAGATACTCAAACACATAAGCAAAATAATTAATTATTAGACTTAGTGGTACTTATAGGTTGATGATTTGTAATTGGTGCACCTTGTCTGTAATGCTGAGATTTCTGAGGAAGCTATGAATTGTAAGCTTTCCATTATTTCGCCCATTCATTAGTGACTCACAAGTCTACCACCAGGGACATGCTTGCCTTGCCTTTCCTGATGACCAGTGCCCGTCATGGTAACTGTCACATGCGGGGAGGGAGGGGAAAAATGAGGACCTAATGTCGGGGGTTTAAGAGGAGAGAAAATGTTTTGAGAATGATGTACAAATGCGCTTTACACAATTGATGTGTGTATGGATTGCGCTAACAGTTGTATGAGCCCCTAATAAAATGTTTAAAAAAAATTAAAAAAAAAAAAAAAAAAAGCCCTCAGGAAATGCTATGGTAGTCTGTAGTGAGGACATGTAAAACAATCTAGTGCCCTTAACATCTGAGGAAGGAATGGAGCAGCAGGTCAGAATTTTGGGATGGTTATTGAGCTACAAGGACCCTAAAAGGAAGACCACTTCTCTCGGAGGCCTTCGTAAAGACCTCTTCTTGTGTGGGATCTGCTTTGCTTTTACTTCTGTTTATATTGTTGCCTTCTATCAGACATCAAAAGGGGCTTTCCCAGCAGGCATGCGACTAGAGACTGTGCTAGATGGGGACTACTACCACTTTTTTGCTTATTATAAGTCAGAGCTGAGGGGTCATGGTTTCATGTGATTTTTGTTTGTTGTTATTAAAATTAGGGCTCACAAGTGGTTTTTGGGTGCTTTGGAGGTCCTGAAAATGTGACTTAGCCCTGAGCTGGGAGAATGTACAAGCCAGAGGAGGTCAGATAGGTGGTCCGTGCCCTTCAAGGTAGTCAGTATCTTGATGGAAGATCATTACACTAAGAGTCTTGAGATGAGGTTGCATTGAAGTACAACTGACTAATGAGTTAGAGGACATACCTTAGGGAAATGTAAAGACAATAAGAATAAAAAAAAACCAAACCGGTAAGGAGTGCTAAACAATGATAATAGGCCCTAAGGGGACAGTGGTACATGTTTTATGTCCCTGGATAGACACTACGAATAAATTTCTACCCAACCCTCAATGAACCATGTCCTGGAATAAACATCAAGATGACCTTGGATGCTGACCCTGCAGTCAGCATGGCATAATTCAAGGCTTAACATAGAGCCCTGGTAGAATGAACTGAGCCCTGCCTCAAAGGTGTCTGCACCCTTGGGCTGATGACAGGGTTAGTCACATGGGGAGAGGAGCACAGAGTAGCTACCCCGGACCCGTGGAAGTGATGGTCATGGGAATAAAATGGAAAGGCACCCCAAATCACCATGCATTTAGTCCCTTGATGCCCCACTTGCAGGAACAAGACAGGTTTTTATCTGTTGGGTAGGGTTTTGACCTTGGAAGAATTGATCCAGGAAGTTCCCCCTGGCACCAATTCCCATGCTTAGGGTAAACAGAGCTCAATCAAATGAGAGACTAAACCGTGTGGAGCAGCAACTCATGGGTTGCAGCTTATGGTGGAACTGTATTGGCATAGACTCCTCAAAAATGTATGATGTTACAAGTGCAAACTGCCTTATACCCCAGGGGATTATTGACAATGTTATACTGTTGCTTGTTCTTGTTTGCATGTTTGCCCCTTATCTGCTAGTTGGTTTGTTGCTGTTGATGGGGTAGTTGGTCCTTTAAAAAATTTTTATTAATAATTTTATTGAGGAGCTCTTACAAATCTTATAGCAATCACTCATTCAATTGTATTAAGCACACTTGTACATATGTTGCCATCAACATTTCCAAAACATTTTCTTTCTACTTGAGCCCTTGGTATCAGCTCCTCTTTTTTCCAGTCTCTTCCCCACCTTACCAGGGTAGTTGGTCTTATGGGGTTTTGAATTTACCATAATATGGCTACCAAAATAAATCTGAGTCATGCATATTCCAGGGACAAGCAGATGGATTCTGGCCCATCACTGAACTCTAACCCCAATCCAAGAACAGTTAGTTTTGATAACATGGCCCTACTTGATACTCATCCTTATGTAATGATCACTGAAGATAAGGGGCTATAACAAAGAGTAGTGAAGAGAGTAGGTGTTACCCGACTATCAATTGGAATAGTGTCTGGGGTCTTAAAGGCTTGGAATCAAACAAGCAGCCATCTAAGCAAGGTGTCAACTAAGTCCACACAGAATAAAGGGAAAATTATCGGAGCTCAGATAGTGAATACCCAATTTGTAGAAGGCCATGGAGAACAGTGGGAGTCCCAAACCCATCGGCAGAGTATCTAGTCAGAGTAAGCCTTTGGTAGATCCCCTCTAGCCATAGGCAAGGGTCTTGAATAGCTTTACTATCAGATAGAGACCATTGTAATTATATTGGGTCGAACTGGATACTTGGTCATTTGACCTCCCTCTTTACCCAACCTGTAATTGTTCTAAGTGCAAGTATTTCTTGCTTGCTCCATGACAAAAATTTCCTCCCTGGTCTTTTAAATATTCATGGTGGTCTTTTCTTTCTACCTGATTATTTGTATTTTTATATCTGGGTTATTATTATTTTATCCTTACCACTTTATTTATTTATTTTGTTTCTGTTGTGTTTTCCAGTTTGTGAAGCACAGGAGTAGATGCATAGAGATAAGAACTGTTGCAAGGGTTTATAGCAGAGCTAGGGAAACGTGGGAGGCAGGGATGGCAAGGGGGTTAGGAAGCAAACTGTATAAGAGAAGGGGAGGGGGCACTAGAACTGATGGTGATTATACAACTCATTTTCAAAGCAATTTAACTATGGGGGAGGGTGGGCAGTATTCTAAAATTGATTGTGGTGATTATTGTACAACTCTTGGTATGATTGAAATATTGAATTGTGTGATATGTGGATTACCTTATATACTTGTGTATAAGCTGAGTATTTCAGCATATTTTTTGTGCAGAGTTTGTGGTAGTATTAGGCACCTTGGCTGATAGTCAGGTCAGCTTATACTTGAGTATATACGGTAAGTGCCAATAAAACTTAGGGGAAAAAAGATTACAGCCTATGGGCAATTCTACCCTGTCCTATAAAGTTGTTATAAGTCACAACAGAATTGATAGTAATGAATATATAGACTTGAGTAGTGGAAGTGACTTTTTTTAGTAGAGATTAGACTCAGAAGTTAGAGAGAAAATGAGGTTTAATTTTACTTAAAAAAGAAAGATTTAAAAATGTCAAAAGGTGAAAAAACTCTGAACATTAGATCATGAATAATAAGCCTTTATAGCAGCAGTTCTCAACCTGTGGGTCACGACCCCTTTGGGGGTCAAATGACCCTTTCACAGGGGTTGCCCGATTCATAACAGTAGCAAAATTACAGTTATGAAGTAGCAATGGAAATAATTTTATGGTTGGGGTCACCACAACAGAGGAACTGTTTTAATGGTCACAGCATTAGGAAGATTGAGAACCACTGCTTTATAGCACATGACTGCATATGAGTTGATGAGCCAACTCTCCTGAAACATGGACAAAGGAGATGAATGGATAGTACATAGAAGAGCAAAGACTGCTCTCTCTGGGCCCGGTGTGCCCTGCACTCCCTGCTGCCTATGTCTCTCCTTCTCCACCTCCTCCCCAGCCCCAGAGCAGGAGCCTGAACAGCTGCCTCGGCCACTGTTGTCATAGTTTCTGGAGTTACAGTGAAAGATGACGTCCTTGAAGTTTTTAATGTTATTGTTGTGGACCACAAGGCATCTGGGAGAGCTGATCACTGTAGCCAAAAACAGAGACCAGGTTGAGTAGAGAAATTATGTTTTTTCTGTAAGAGCTTGCAGAAGGAAAAAAACGAGGTTTCTCCTCTAAGATGTTCAGTCCTGACTTCACAAGTTAATATACAAGAAACAAGATTTTTTTTTAACAATGATTATAGGAGGAGATTAGAGGTTTTTATGATGGCATAGGATACATTTGATATTGTAAGAAATCAGGTTTTACGATGATTATTAGGAAATTATCCATAACTACATTTCTCCAGGGATCATTAGACCACCATCCCCTGAAGCTTCATGTACCTGTGTTTATCTAAATTGGAATGATGTTTTGTGTATACCTACTTATCTTATTGACAGTGTTAGCCTCCTTTTCGAATTGGAATATCCCTCCAAAATAAGCTTAGATGGAACTTTTAATGTAAGGGAGAGGACTTTTACATTTTGGATTTTTGACAAACTAAATATTAAATTATGTTATCTTTCTATCAGTGATTTTCTCTATTTCAATCTGAAAATAAGAAAATCTATACAAGAGAAGGTCAAAAGAACGAAAGCAAGGAAGAGAGAAAGAAAATCCTTGTGTTTTAGCAAGCACAAAAGACAAATAATTGTAGAGGAAGCAAAGAAAATTTGATAGGTGACATTGGTGATACTGTAGAGAGCCCCAATACATCTTTTGTGAAGTTATTGTCTTTGAATGATTGTACTTTGTACCATACTATATGTGAAACAAAAAAGTCTTAAGAAAGAAGACAGTATTTATTTTATGGGATCCTGAAAGTGTACTTTTAAAAAGCAAGATGTTTTATGCTAGTTGTAAAGATGCCAATAAAAAGAAGTTTACTAGTAGGTAGGAGTGGCAAGTCAAATGTGGGACCAGGGGTGGTGGGAGGTGGGGTAGAGAGATTAGATGGATGGACACGTTGGATTAGAGGAAGCTAAGGAAAGCATTTTGTTAGAAGTAGATTTTCTGGTGATTATTGTGTTCTATTTGGCTAACAGCTCATTTTTAAATGATTTGATATTTTTAAAGATAATTCTTTATATTATTTTAGTTATCTAATTGCTATGTTACAAGTAACCAAAAAAAATTAATGGCTTACCATAATGGGCATTTTATTATATTTCACTTTTTGAGTCAGGAATTTGGGCAGAATTTGGAGGCAGTTTATGTGCTTCATATAACATTAATCGAGGTCAGTGGGTATTGGCACTCAGCTAGCACATAACTGGTGACTCCAAAATTATCTTTATTCATATGCCTATAATCTTAGTGGAGGTTTTGGAAGGCTGAACTCATTGAGTCTCACTTCCTTGTTTCTCCAGCAGGGTAGTTGGACTGTGTACTTGGCCATTCAGGGTTCCCAGAGCAAGTATATTAAGAGGTGGGAAGTAGTAACTGTTACCCTTTTGGGCCTGGGCCTGAAACTGGGATAGAACCCTTTCTCTTTTCTCCTCTTGGCTAAAGCAATCACACCATCCATGTACTCCAAAGAGAAAGGACAGATTTTACCTCTTATGGAAGGAGTTCCAATGACTTATGTGCATCTTTAATTTACTACATATATAAATGCTTTTATTTTCTGTGTTCAGTCTGTCAGGAAAATTGGGTTGACAGTTTATAAGTAACAGGTTAGTGGGCCATACGAGACATTAGTGCTATTCCAATTTTATAAGTTAAGGGACTTGCCTTGCAGGTAAAATGTGCAGAAGCAAATGTCCTGTTGCTTATTTGGGCTTCTTCTTTCTGTACGATACTGCTCTCATTCTGAAAAAAAAAATTCATATAAAAAAGACAGTTGAGTAAAATTTCTTTTTCTAAGCAAGTCAGGTGATCCATCAAAAAGATGAAATAGTTTCTATAAGGCAGGACTTCTCACAGTGTGACAATCCCTTTGATAAACCACAGAAGCTTAGTAGCTTACACATGAAGAAAAAAATTATTGTAAATATAATCTCCCATTAATTTCCTCTTGCAATTACTGTTTGCATACCTGTTTTGCTTTCAAACTGCCTTTGGTAATTACTGACATTATTATTTTTTTACTACACATATTATTTCTTGTAAAAAATGTTCACAGTGGGTAGGTTTAGTTGTGTTTGTTATATATTTTCATGGCATTTAAAAGGAGCAAGAAAAAAGGGGGCGACATTGGAACTTGCAAAGAGGAAGCAAAATTATACATATTTTATATTTGGAGAAAACCTTTAATTCTATGGAAAAATAAGAGCAGACAGCAATGTTAGTCTTAAACTTAGTGAGTCCTTACTGAATTACTGTTATCATTTATGTTTTTAAATTCTTCTAAATATTTAAATTTTCCTAAATAGTGAATTTGACCAGAGGTTATAACTATAAAAATCAAATCAAGGTTCTTCTTTTAAAATACCCTTACATGTCTTAGCATTCTTTGATCAATGTGCCACTTAGTCTTATGAATTAATTGTTGCTTCCTAGTATTGTGGTTACAAAGAGGTGCTCAGATCTTTAACCATAGAGCAAATGTGCAAATATAGAGATCTTATATGGTAACAATACAAGTGGATTTTTGCTTTAATGTTTCATGTAATCTTACAGATAAATCAAACTTTTTAGAAAAATTTCTCAACTCCTTCCCAATAATTTAGTAGTTTTCAGTAAAATAACTGAGTTGGACAGTGGTTAGAATAAGCTAGGAAATTGGTAAGTATAGCCCCTAGAACCTGTTGTATTTCAGGCAAGGCTGCCTTCAATATGTTTGTACTGTGAAGGTTGGTGGTCCCCAGAGTTCTTTAAAATAATCTAAGCCTTAAGTGTTTTCAGAGTTTGTTGGGAGTTGACTCAGAAGTAATGATTACTCTCTTTCAGACTGGTGGTGGTGGTACAATGCCAGAGAGAGTACCGGAATTAGATGGTGGCATGCCCACAGAGGAAGATAAAAACCATTCTAACAGTAGCACTTTGTCTGACCGAAGACTCAGTAACTGCAGCCTTTGTAGCATAGAAGAAGAGCACCGAATGGTATATGAAATGGTACAGCGAATCCTCTTGTCAACTCGAGGTTACGTCAATTTTGTCAATGAAGTATTTCGTCAGGTTAGTGTGTACACATGTAATGTAAGCTTATGCAACTTTTGCTTATAACACTGTCACTCTGGGTAAACTAGGGAAACAAATTCACAGAAACTCATATCTATAAGAGAGTTTTATATAAAGGGTAAGTGTACATCAAGAAAGCATCCCAACCTACTGCTACCCAAGTCCGTATGTCCAACATTAGCCCATATGTCAAACAGCAATCCACAGAGTCCTCCTCCATCTCACAAAACAGACACAATGATGCCGACTGCAGGAGGAAAGTTGAATCAGTGAATGTGTAAGCATCTCAGTGCTGGCAGGGCTCTCCACACAGCTGTTCCAGCACCCAGGGCTGCATCGGGGTAAAACCACAATAACTCTTTACAGGAGTAGAAAGCCTTATCTTTCTCAGAGTGGCTAGTGGTGTTGACCAACTTACCTTGCAGTTGGCAGCCCAATTCTTACCCAATATGCCAGTGGTTCTCAACCTTCCTAATGCCGCAACGCTTTAATGCAGTTCTTCATGTTGTGGTGACCCCCCAACTATAAAATTATTTTCGTTGCTACTTCATAACTGTAAGTTTGTTACTATTATGAATCGGCGACTCCTATGCCATCATGGCTTCTGTGCCATAACCCTAAGAAACTACTAATTTAGTTATTATCTCTATAGACATACCCATGTTAGATTTCATATAAAGAAAAATAAGCTAAACTAAACCAAACCAGACAAAAACACTCCAAGAATAATAGCAAAATAAATCAAAGAGAATCCTCAATAAAAGCAGAAAATTTAATCAAAAAATTGGATTAAATTTAAAATACATCAAAAGGCAGAAAAAATGATAAGGGCTTAAATTTTAAACTAAATGTTGTTAGGTGCCATAAAATTGGTTGTGACTCAAAGTGACCTTATATATAACAGAAAACAAACCTCTTCCTCTTCTGCGGCATCCTCACAATTTTTCTTACATTTGAGCCACTGTGTCAGTCCATCTTATCAAGGGTCTACCTCTTTTTCACGGCCCCACTACGTTATGAAGCATGATATCCTTTTCCAGGGACTGGTCTAACAGGGTAATATGTCCAAGGTCATGAGATAAAGTCTCATCATCCTTACATCCATGAAGTATTCTGGCAATACTTTTTCCAACATGCATTTGCTTGTTCTATTGGCAGTTCATGGTATTTTCAATGTTCTTGGCCAGCACTATAATTCAAATGCATCACTTCTTCGATTTTCTTTATTCATTGTCCAATTTTCACATACATATGAGGCAAATGAAGTACCATGGCTTGGGTCAGACATACCTTGGTCCTCAAAGTAACATTCTTACTTTTTGGTTGGTGCAGCAGATTTATCCAATGCAATGCTTCCTTTAATTTCTTGGCTTCAGCTTCCTTGAGCATTGATTGTAGATCTGGCAAAATGAAATCCTTGACAACTTCATTCTTTACTCCATTTATCATGGTATTTCCTACTGGTCCAATTTGAGGATTTTGGTTTTCTTTACATTGAGTTGTAATCTGTACTGAAGGCTGTAATCCATCCTTGATCTTCTTCAGCAAGTACTTCAAGCCCTCCTCATTTTCAGCAAGCAAGGTTGTGTCATCTGCATATCGCAGGTTGTTAATAAGATTTCCTTCAACCTTGATGCCAGATCCCTCTTCATATAATTAGCTTCTCTGAATTTTTACTCCGCATGCAGATTGAATAAATATAGTGAGAGGATACCACTCTGACTCATACCTTTCCTGATTTTAAACCATGCATTTTCCCTTGTTCTGTTGGCCCAACTGCCTTGATCCATGTACAGGTTCTGCATGAGCACAATGAAGTGTTTTGTAATTCTCATTCTTCTCAAGGTTATCCGAAGTTTGTTATGATCCACAGAATTGAATGACTGCATAGTTAATAAAACACAAGTGGACATCTTTCTGGTACCTGTACTTTCAGCCAAGATCCAGCAGACATCTGCAATGATATCCCTTGTTCCACATCCTCTTCTCAGTCTGGCCTGAAAATGTGGCAGCTCCCTGTCAGTGTACTGCTACAACTGTTTCCTGATGATCTACATCAACATTTTCCTTGCATTTGGTATTAATGATATTGTTTTATAATTTGTACATTCTTTGGATTAGGTACAATACGGATCTCTCCAAGTCACTTCTCTAATTAGCTGCCTTCCAAGTTTCTTGAAATAGACTAGTGAGTTCTTCCAGTGCTTCATTAGCTTGTTGAAACATTTCAGTTGGTATTCCATCAATTCCTGGAGACTTCTTTTTAGCTAATGCTTTAAATGCAGCTTGGACTGCTTCCTTTAGTACCATTGGTTCTAGATCATATGCTACCTCTGAAATGGTTGAATGTTGACTAGTTCTTTTTGGTAGTGACTTTGTATTCTTTCATATCTTTTTTGGATGCTTCCTGCATTCAATATTTTTCCCATAGAATCTTTCAATATTGCAACCTGAGGCTTGATGTTTTTCTTTAGTTCTTTTAGTTTAAGATATGCAATGTTCTTTCATTTTGGTTTGCTAACTCTAGGCCTTTGCTTAATTCATTATAAAACTTTGTCTTCTGAGCTGCACTTTGGAATGTACTATTCAGTTCTTGATTTAATCCTTTCTCTCATTTGCCTTAGTGTCTCTACAATCAAGAGCCATTTTCAAAGTTTCTTTTGACATCCACTTTGTTCTTTTATTTATTTCCTGTCTGTTTAGGGTGTAAATCTTTTGTTTTATCATTTTATTAGGGGCTCATACAACTCTTATCACAATCCATACATACATCAATTGTGTAAAACGCATTTGTACATTCATTGCCCTCAGCATTCTCAAAACATTTCCTCTTCACTTAAACCCTTGGCATTAGGTCCTCATTTTCCCCCTCCCTCCCCGCTCCCCCCTCCGTCATGAGCCCTTGATAATTTATAAATTACTATTTTGTCATATCTTGCCCTGTCCGAAGTCTCCCTTCACCCACTTTTCTGTTTAATGACCTTTTCCTTTCTTCGGTTTTGATGTTCTTGATGTCACCCCATAACAGGTATTCTGTCATTGATTATTCATGGCATTAACTTTGTTCTTGAGATGTTTTCAGAACTAAAATGGGATAGACTTACGGTCATAATTTGGATCTCTTGGACTTGTATTAGTTTTCTTCAGTTTCAACTTTAATTTACATGCCAGCAATTGATGGTCTTTTCCACAGTTGGTCCCTGGCCTTGTTTTAGCTGCTGATCTAAAGCTTCTCCATTAACTCTTCCCACAGGTGTAGTCAGTTTGATTTCTGTGTATTTCATCTGTAGAAATCCTTACATGAGTCACCTTTTGTGTTGTTTTTCAAAGGTATTTGCAATGAAGATGTTATCGGTCTTGTTAAAGTCTTCTTCCTCTTTTTTTTGAGGAACTTCCCATTTTTATTCATAAAATTAATCAAAATTGAAAGACAGAGTTACAGAGCCATGCATCAATCGCATAACAGGAGAGTAAGGAAAAGCTCCAGATGCCTCTTGAGAAAAGTTCCCAAGAAACATACATCAGGCTAGACATCTAATGCTCAACTGTGGTTCCACACCAGGCTGTGATTCATTTCTGCATTTTCTCAATAAGTTCTAACTTGTAGTTACCTTTCTCTTTTCAACCTGTGGAGATTTGGCTTTGCCTTCAAGAATTTTGCCCGATCTTTGTCCAACTTCAGCCTAGTGATGACCACCTTGCTCGGATGAGTGCCCACATGGATAGTTGTGTGGCTAACTTTCTCCTCTGTCCTCACTCGATGTAGATGATGTACGTCTTTCTGTTCACCTGGGCCAACTTGCTGACTTGTTGGCCTGAACTCTGTCCTTGCATATGGGCATAGAATGGACATTATACTTCTGCTACAGCTCCTTGGAGAGTGGAGATTATATGATCTTCCTGCACAAGTGTGTGGGGTCATTGAAGTGGCATATGCGGTTCTTGCTGAAGTCTGAGGTCATGAAGGGGTTGAACTTCTTGGTGACCATTGGATGTCAGGAGGACTTAGACCCTCCATGGTGGGGTCTTCCTGAATTCTATCTTGCGATTTCTAGCTTTGTTTCAATCACCAAGGCCATATTTTCCAGCTCCTTTGTTCTTCCTCTTTGTTTCCAACTTTTGCATTCTACACAACAATAATTATCAATGTATTTTGATTACATGTTTGATCAATTTCAGACTGAAAATGTTTGAATTCTTCAATTTCCTCATCACTAGTTTTAACACCATTAGTGCATAAAGGTTAGTTGTACTGATTATGTTTCCTTGTAGGTGGATTAGTAGTATCATATCAGAGCCAGCTTTGTACTTCAAGATAGATTTTGAAATGTCCCTTTATGACTATGAATGTGAATCACCATATTCTTCTTGAACCTGTGATTCCAGGCATAGTAAACTATATAATTTTCTGATTCAAGTGGCCAACAGCATTCTATGTCAGCTCACTAATGGCTAGGATATCAATCTTGTTCCATTTCATTTTTCAAGGCTTCCAATTTTCCTAGATTAATAATTTGTCCACTCAAAATTCCAGTTATTAAGGGTTGTTTTCAGCTATTTCTTCTTATTTTGAGTTGTAGCCCATCAACAAAAGAAGATTCCGAAGACTTTACTTCTGCAGGCTTTACTCCTATAGCTTTACTCCATTCACGTCATTAGGATCCATTCCACTTTGAGAAGGCAACTCTTCCCCAGTCATACTTAAATGCCTTCCAACCTGAAGAGTGCATCTAGCACTGTCTATGACAGCATTCTGCCACTATTCACAAGGTTTTCAACATCTGACAGTGTTCCACAAAGTTTTTGGTGGCTCATTCTTCTAAAGTGGACAGCCTATTCCTTCTTTGTCTTCTGTTCTTAATTTGGAAGTTCTGAATTATGATGTTGGCAAACAGTATTGAATATACCATGGCCTGCCAAAAGAACAAATCAATGTGTATTAGAAGAAGTATAACTAGGATGCTCTTTGGAAACTAGCTGTATATTGTAGGGTAATAGATAGATTGAAGGAAGGATTGGTAGAGATATGGTTAGATAAAAAGGTGGTGCAGCAAATATTAAGACATGCTAATGGTAGAATGTAGACCTTTATTATAAAATTATTTAAACATTTTAATGTATGAAAATTAATATAAAACATTTTGGGAAATATTAGAAAGGGATAATTTTATACTTTATCTTTGTTGGTCTTTGAATTAAGAATAATTGATGTATACACTGATAACACTGCAGTCTTATAAAGTCCTCTATTATAACAATTTATCCATTATATGAACTCTCCCTACAAGTGTAGTTAGCTTACAGCTGCATCTTGTGGCATGAATTTTAAAGAGGATATTAAAACAATTTTCTGAAACCTGTGGTTAAGGCCTAGGTTTGTCACTAACTAGCTTTGTAACCTTGGAAAGTATCTTAGGTTTCTGAGCCTTTGGGTCTTCTCTGGAAGAAAACATTCATCTGACAGTGCCCAACTATCAGAAAGAATACCATCTGAGGTCTTAAAGGCTTATCTTAAAACAAACTCGTATAAGTGAGGTGTCAGCTAAGTCCATATGGAAGAAGCACAACAGCATGTGTGAGCCAAGGATTGTCAATATTATAATCCAAAACCAGCGGAGGGAATGATATTAGAGCTTAAAATCTGAGCACCCAGTTTGCAGAAGTCTAAGAGTCATGAGTTGCAATCGATTTGATTGCAGTGAGTATGGCATGGTTTTGGTTATGGATGACAGTGAAAGCCCAAAATTCAGTTGCAGGGTCCCCAAGTTGACTAAGAATGGTCAGAATACCCTCTGATCATTGACTAGAAATGCAAATAATAAAGTGGACTAATGCAGATATAGTTTGGTTAAAACACCTTATCCTATGTTCTCCCTTTTGATCCATTTTAACTTTGTTTTTTAGTTTTTATTATTTTCTGTTATCTTTGCAATTGAGATTTTTCTGTTTTAGTTTGTTGTTGGGTTCTTTTTTCTTTATTTTTTTTTATATGAAATTCAGGATAAATAAATTTATAAATACAGTAACTGGAATAATATTTTCTTGAAGTTATGGCATGGGGAATTGGAGGAAAAGGGAAGGTAATAATAATGAATACAAGAAAGAAGAAATTTTCTAAAATTGATTGTGGTGATAATTGCCAGTTTTCTTTAATATATTTGAAGCATTGAATTGCATGATATGTGAATTATGTCAATAAAATGTTAACATTATAATTCAAAAAAGGAAGGTACCAAACAACGCAGACCGATTCAGCATAGGTAAAAATATTTTAAAAGTGTTATGACTTGAAAATCACTGTTTCTGGTTGAGATTGAGCTATTGAACACTTACGGGCAAATAAGCTTAATGTAACTTTCATATGAAAACAACAACAACACTACATTCATTTGAGTATTGAGGTACTTGGTAAAGTACATGTCATAGGTGCTCATCTAATGCAGAAATTGTCCTTAAAATATTTATTTCCCATTTAATTGCTGGTTTATATTTTTGGAATCTTCCTGCATTAGGTCAGTAAGTTCCTTGTATAGGTGTGTAATGGGATTTCTTAATATTAATTAAAAAGAACAGTCACTACCATCAAATCAATTTTGACTCATAGTGACCTTATAGGACAGGGTAGAATTTCCGGCCCTGTGAATTTACAAAAATGTAAGTCTTTATGACAGTAGGAAGCCTCATCTTTCTCCCAAGGAGTGGCTAGTAGTTTCAAGCTGCTGACATTGCCATTAGCAGCCCAGCACATAAGAACTAAGCCATGAGAGTCATTTAATGTTAATTGAATTCATATAAAATTCAGAGTGACACACTGGCTGGTGGCTTTCGATAACATTGACAGCTGTGCTCAGTGGTATATTGGTAAATATTGAACAGCTGATACACACACACACAGACAGAGGATATGGGGGGGGGGGCGGTGCAAAAACCTGATATTTAGCATTTTCCTGTTTCTGTGTATAAATACTCCCAGCATAGTCAACCCAATTTCCCGAAGTATGACTACTTTATGTGGAGCTGTGAAGACGTATGCACAGTTGGCTACCACTGGCTGTAGTAATATATCTGTTATCAGTTTACTCTTTATTCTTTAGAAAGTTTCCTTTTGTACAATTGCTATGCTTTCTATAGCCACTTAAAAGATCTATGTTATTATTTTAAGTTGTAGAGTTGCTACCCACTTTAGAGACCATGTAGGACAAAGAAGAACTGTGCCATGGGATCACCAAGGGTATAATCTGTATAGGTGCATACCATCAGGTCTTGTATCCCACAAAACTTCTGCTGGCTTCAAACCACCGACCATCTGGGCAGCAGCTGAGTGCTTAGCCATTTGAGATAGTTTATTGTGCCAGCCTGGCCGATAAACACAAATGGGATTAACTAAAGGGCGAAGAGATAAATGGCTCGGTGAGCCACGCCTTTCTTGTTTCTTGCTCTTTGATCCTCGGACCAGTGTGCGGCTGCCTTGCTTGTTCTGTGCCTCAATTTACAGGCTACACTACCTGTGGGACGCCTAGCCTATGAACTGTGTGGTTGTAAGTTGAGGTCCCTTTAAGACATCTCTGGAGCTGGGGACTGACAGTTGGTGACCTGCCTTGTGATTGGCTGCTGTGCTGAGATAGCCTAGCTCTCTCTATATATAGAGGAAGACCTGGCAGCAGACTAGACTTGAAGGACTGCTAGTGTCCCACAACTCTCTCTTGTGGGAGTGAGTTGTACTGAGCCATTTGTACTGCTTTATAATTTAACTGTTCATTTCTTGTATTATAGATTTATCTGTATATAATTTAACAGTTCATTTCTTGTGTTATATATCCAATTATCTTTATAAATAAATATATTAAATTATCAGCAATTTGGTTTTATCTCTCTAGAGAACCCTGTCTAACACACCACTATACCATAAGATTCTCTTACACCTATAAAGTCATGTATTTTGTAGAAAAAAACACATTGATTTACAATATAGACGCTACAAATGACCTTTTTTCCCTTTCCCATTTATGAGAATTTTTTCCAGTCAATTTTTCTGTGCAAAGAGATGTATGGTCCTGTGTTCACTGGTTTCAAAGACATGTCTGAAAGCAGTGATAGCCATTTTAAATGTCTGACATATGTGGCTCTGTTGTGATTTAAACTTGTGGGTTTCAACAGTGTTTTCTCTCTTACGTTTAGGCATTTTTGCTGCCTTCTAGTGACATAGCTGTTACAAGAAAAGTAGTGCAAGTATACAGAAAATGGATCCTCCAGGACAAACCTGTATTCATGGAAGAGCCAGATAAAAAAGACATCACTGAAGAAAATACTGAAAAACTAGGATTTTCAGAAACTGATAGCAGGGAGGTAATATTTCATCACTTGTCATTTGAGCTGGGAGTATATGAGTAAACCATACCTGCTCCATCTAGAGTCCCCATCAGTGGAACACAGGCAGACCAACTTCATTTTATATTATGTGTACTGGGCATTATTTTGTTCTGTTGTACATAGGGTCACTATGAGCCAGAACTGACTCGATGGCACCTAACAACAACAACAGCAACAAGAACAGCTCTCAAGTTGATCCGTTCCATGAGGACCTACCTCATTGAAGTAACTTCTGTCTTTTACTGAAGAGGGTCATCTCAAAGCCATCAAGCTAGGACCAAATGCACATTACATCTTTGTTCATAATTGTTGCATTGTTTCATAAACCATCCTGTGTACCACGTCTCTGAGTGAAACTAAAAAAGGTCACTATCTTGTTCTTGGCAAGTTTAAATAACTAGCATTGGAGAAGTTTACAATGTTTTGGCAAATTTATCTTGGGTAGTGGAATTTAACTAAAGCAGTTGGGCTGTTACACATTTGATAGAACTGTTGACTAAACATAAGTATTATTTCATTGTTAGCCTCACTATCTTCTAGAATAGGCACTGTCACACTGAATCTTTTCATCCATGGTTGATAAAGCTAGAGGTGGTATAAATGTAAAATGACAGTGAATCAACATCTTGAAATGTAAAGAAATTATGTCATATTACATTTTATTTTAATGAAGCCCTATATACTTCTAAATACTTGTCTTCCATAATTTTCATTTCTCACTATTGGTGATGTCTTAATAACTATTCATGAGGTCAAATTAAATAGGTAAGCAAATGGAATTCATCACAGTTTTAGAGGTGTGTTACATTCCCTTTCAGTCATTTGACAAACATTTATATTTTAGGTACTGGAAATAGAGCTTTAAATAAAACAGAAGAAGCCGTCTCATGAATTCTACTGAGTATAAGAAATTAAGCATGTGAGCTTGTGATTCATTCTATTGCATTAACTGCTTGTTATTTTTTAAAGGTCTCATCCGAAAGTTCCGGTCATAAGCGATCCTCCAGTTGGGGGCGCACGTACTCCTTCACGAGTGCAGTGAGCAGAGGCTGTGTACTGGAAGAGGAAAGTAGCGATGTGAAAGCTGGTGCCCAGGTTATGCTGCAGGTATGCAGCTAGGCCAGACTTGAAGACCTCCAACTGGAATCATTGTAAAATTTTGTTTATGAGTATAACAACATATAAAGTGTGGTGATATTTTTAGCTCTGTCTCCGTAAATAACTCTTAAATTCCCCTTCCAAGTTTTCACTCTAATTTCCTGCATACAGTTGTTAGAGTTTGTTTTTATCAAAGGAGATAGAACTAAGAGGGATTTTGAGAGGGATTATTACGGAGTGAATGTGAAATGACTGAGATTTAAATTTTAATACTATCTTCAGAATATGCGTGGGGAGATATATTACAAACTTGTGATTATCTAAGTTTATGTGTAGTAGTTCTCTTGAAAATTCTGTATTGTAAAGCCACATTTATGCATCTGACATGTTTATGAAGCTCAATGATTAATGCTGTAGTTTTTAGATATTTACATGACTAAATGCAAGTATATGAAATAGAGCTGATACCATTTAGAAACATTGGACTTTGATTTGTCCCTTAGCCTTCTCAGACCTCAGAATTCTCTCTCAAATGGGGACTGGGAGATTATCTTTTGAATCTTACCTAGTTTGAAGTTATTAGCACTGCAAGTGAAGAAAAGAGATGGCCTCCTGCCGCCCATCCCCAAGTTCATAACCGTGTCCAGTTGAGCTTCCAAGGCAGAGGTCCAGCATGGAGTGAAGAAAACTGTGCAAGATAAGCATGTTGCTCAACTCTTGGTGATGCTGTATGGCCTGTTATCTGTATCTTGATGGGTTCATATTGTGTTTTTTGTTTCCAAGTTAACTAGTTTAATATGTTGTAACTGAGAAGTTTCTTCATTTTCCATAGAAAATCAGTACATAATTTGAAAATAACTTTTTAAAATCAAGATCATTTTACTTGAGCAGTTTCAAAGAACTACTGTGCAGTTAATAAATTAACATGTATCCCCACTAGAGAAAATGAATGAGGAATCCCTTTTCTATGTTCCTGAGCAGCACATTCTCTCAGAGAGGATTGCCAGTGTTAAATTCAGGGAGGGGGTGGCTGGAGGCACATATTGCCAGTTATCTTGTTTACTGGAAACATAAATTCCATTTACTTGAACTAAGAGAAAATTTTTTTTCTATTTGATCACTTTGTAACTTTAAAAAGTGTATAGTTTTAATCTAAGTAACTGTTTTATTTTCATTGTATCTAGTGCCTTGGTTCTTTACTTGGTTCATTAGGGAAAATAGTGTCCAAATTTAGATTTAATAAAATAATTGCTTTGGCAAGAATAGGTTAGATATTAATAATTTTATTGGTTTATTTGTACTTTACTTATTTTAAGAAGATATTAAATTCATATCATGGGCATTTTGATTTTTAAAAAAATTTATAAATAAACTGAAAGCAGTATCTTATATGAAAACTCTCAACTTTACCTTGGGAATATGCAAAAATTGCAAAACAAGAAACCACAGTCATTGAAATAAAATGACTTACATTACAGTATATCATTTATAATGCAGATCCTTTAAACTAATAGTTTGCCATAGTTTAAGATAGAATGTTTTACTTTTCTTTTTTGAACCAAAAGCTAGAAGTTCTCCACAAAATTATATTATCAATTAACATTTTGTAGTACTTTATTTAGTCCTTGGGCTACCTTGTGAAGAGGAACCAGTCCCTAAAGAAAGTACCTGCATGATAAAGTAGAGGGGCAGTGAGAAAGAGAAAGACCCCCAGTGAGATGAATTGACCCAGTGGCTGTAAATGTGAACTGAAATCTTACAATTGTGGGGATGGTGCTGGAAGGGGCAGGGTTTGTGCTGTTGTACATGAGTCAGAGTGCACAAGATGGCACCTCAAAACAGCAACTAACTTAGTAATGCTTCCTAATAAATTGGGATATGATACCATTTAAAGCTTGCAGAAGATAATTCTCAAATCTTTGAAGCTGTCAATAATTGATTTTTGAGTGTGTTAATTTTAATTTCTTGGGGTAGTTTATGCATTTTCCTTGAAATGAGGATTTATTAATTTATCTACAAATAAATAGGTATGTCTGATTGTTTCAAAATCACTTGAATTTGTACTGCTGAGCACAATGGAAGCTAAGAGGGAATATAACTTTCTACAGAGGCACTATGAATTGGAATCAACTCAATGACACACAATAACAGCAAAAATGGATCAGATCCATTTCCATCACTAGAATGACAACTCAGACTATCCAAGTTGATGGATGACCAGCATCATCTGTGTAAATAGCACATTGTTATTTAACTGTAGTGCTCCTAAGTGATAAATTACTAAGTAATAATTTATATCAAGACTTCTTCATTTTTCTTCTCAAATACCCTTGATGACAGAGGCTTGTGAACTTGAGATCTATAGGTTTGAGGCAGAGCATAGAATAGTTGGCTGATTAAATAGTTTTTGAGATTTGAGATTTTATCTTAAGAATTCATTTAGAGTTTTGATTTTACTACATAATATATTTCTCATATTAAAAACAAAACACTCCTAGGAGATGTGCAGTGTTGGTCATGAGGCTTGCTTGATCTGTTGCCATGCGTATTGTCAGTAAGGGATTCTTGCAACGGGAAAAGTTACTGGTAGTCACAGGGGTCTTTCTGGCTGTGGTTCTCCTTCTCTTCCCTGCCCCAAAGCCATTCACTTAGAGGCAGTGACCCTGGCCTTCCTCCCCTTTTTATGCCCACCCCTGCTTTAGGGTCTGAAGGGTCCAAAAGAAGGCTCAAAAGATTTTCTGACTCATAACATTTCTAGAGTTTCAATACGAATAGGTAGTAGTACATCCCCCTAACCCCCTACCCATCCCCCCGCCCCCCGCAGTAAAAGGCCTTTTGGGCATCTCAGTATTTCAGTTATCCTAAGGGGTGAACTAAAAGAATCTTCAGTGTATTTCAGTACCACTTTCCATATTGAAGGTGCCTTAGTAAGCCACTCAAACCTATCAACTTGCGTGAAGAAGAAAGATGAGGCTCTCTTTTCCCATAGAGATTTAGTATGGACAACTATATGGAGAGATTCTTCTCTATCTTAAAGTATCTCTATAAGTTGGAATTGACTTGGAGGCAGTGGGTTTTGTCCTAAAGAAACAAAATCTGTCTCGAAACAACTCAAAAGGTGAAATTATTGCATGCTTCTTAAGCACAATTAATTCAGAATGATATGTTTAATTATATTTTCTAATTTTGGTTTTAAGGTGTTTTTGACAAATGCTGCAAATGTCTTTTTGCTGGAACCATGTGCTGAAGTTCCCGTGCTCTTGAAAGAACAAGTTGATGCCTGTAAAGCTGTTTTGATTATTTTTAGGCGTATGATAATGGAGCTTACAATGAATCAAAAGACATGGTGAGTTTTTTTCAAATTTAAGTTAATATTGTAAAACAGGTATTTCTACTTTTCAACATAATAATTAAAATGTTAAAGCTTCTATTTCTTAGGTGGTTTAATAAAGTTAACAGTAAGATGATAATCTTTTGTACTAGTTTCTGTGAACTATTAAGAAGGTTTCTTAATTATTCTGTGAACAATTAAGAATTATTCAGTAGTTTAATAGTTTATTTTATTACTGGTCCTAAAAATGTTCTCGAATAAAGAATAAGTAGTCATGTAATTTGATAGTAGATTTTTCTAATTTATACTGCCATCAAACATGGTTTAGTGGAAAAGTAGTAATTGGCCTTAGTTCTAGACAATAAAAGACACAGATTCAAGTATATTTCATACAGACTCCTTGATTAAATCTTAAGCAGGAAAAAGATAAGATAATGACCAAAATGAATAATCCAGATAAGGGAGGCCATCATGGTGTCCAAAAAGTCAATGGACACGTTAATTATAGAAGATAGAAAACAAAAAAAATTAGTCACAAAATCATAATTAGCATCAGCTCAGTTAATCACATTTGCAGATGGGACAACTGAATCATGAGTGGGATAAAGATACACTACTACAGAGTAGAAAAGTTTACAAGATTGGTTCTGGGGCCCTCCACCCATCTTGATTGGTTGGGGCTTCATTCTTAGTCATGTGGTTCTAGTGCTTCAGTTTCTATTAAGTGCATGCCCAGGCAGGTCTCTGGGCAAAATTGTCCATCACTGGGTTGGGCTGAGGAGTTGGAAGTAATCCCATTCAAACACACTTAGGAGAGCAAAGCTTTTTATGTTGACTAATGGTCAGAAATAACTCACATTAAGGCTTAACCCACATTAAGACTCAAGATGCACTTAGCCTTCTGCAAGCCAGGTGCTCGGTATTTAAGCTGTAATACATGTTTAAAATATTCTTAATTAGCCCAGAAGAATTTCCGAGTTGTCTCCAAATACTAGAAACTTCTTTTTAATTGCTTAAAATTGGAAGTTTTAAATTTATTTTGTGTGGCCTTTAGTCCAGTAGTCTAGTAGTTTCCATGAGTCTTCAGTTGTCTTCATGATTTTTTACCCAGATGGGGAGTGACTGATAATTGAACATTAGATGGATACTCACAAGCTTTGTGAACTAAGAGGGGGTACCCCCCCCAAAAAAAAAAACACACGCAAAAAAAGCTCTGCTGGGTGGAGCTTTTGTAGTAGGCATGTTCCCCTCAAGGCGAGCCTCGAGCAACTCACTCTGAGTTAGTTTGCCCAGTGATGTCACCTGGGAAGGTTCTCTGGTGTCAGTGAATTTTTCATAAAAGCAGTTTTGCTCTAACCTCATTTTTTGTGATGGCTGATTTAAGAGAAGAGCAAGTGGCTGTGAATTATTGCTTCCTGGTTGGGAAAAATGCCACAGAAACGGTTTTGATGTTGAAATTGATGACAAACCTCATGCATTTGGAGTTTGTTCCACCAGGTCAGAATGTTAATCACGCTTTCTATTTTGAGGTTCTGAAAAGATTGCATAACAGTGTGGAACAAAAAAGGCTGGATTTGTGGCAGTTGGGGGACTGGTTTTGCCACCCACCACAACAATGCACTTACTCGTGCAGCCAGATCTGTTCATGCAGCCATCTCAGTGCACCAGTTTTTGGCAAAAAACAATATACCTCTCTTGCCCCACACACCTTACTCACCTGATTTCACTCCATGCAACCTCTTTTGCTTCTGTGAATGAAGAGGGACATGAAAGGACAGCGATTTGATGAAGTAGAAGAGGTGAAGAAAAAAACGAGGGAGATGCTGTCAGCCATCCAAACAGAAGAGTTTGAAAAATGTTTCCAAGAATGCAATCACAGATTTGACAATTTATTAAGTGTAATGGAGAGTACTTTGAAGGTGATAAGATTGATTTGTTAAAAAATGTAAATACATAGCTTTAGAAAAACATTCCTTTTTTTTTTGGTACCCCCTCATGTGTTATGCCAATTGACCTTGGTGTCTATCTAGACTATGACCCTGAGCACATCCATTGTGTTTTGTTACAATGATGGAACTCTCCACGATATGTCCACTCTTCCATGTTCTCCCTATGTTTGCTGTTACACTCAGTCCTTCTTTCCTATCCTACCCACTTTTTGAATGTTATTTCTGATCAAATGTTGTCTGTTTGCTATCTGGTTCATTGTTCTAATGAATGGTGATATCTTTCACACTGTTCACAAAGTCTATCATTTGGACTGAGGGATAGATCTCTAAGGGCCATTCTCCTAGAGGTTTCCCCACTTCCCACGACCAAAGTTTTACTTGAATATTATTATGTTTCTTGTTCTCCTTGTTTGCATCATGTACACATAACCAATTGTATGGAAGGGATGCTTTCATATTTCCTTAAGGATCACACAATATGAGCTGACAATAGTAACCCGTCTGTACATGGCAGGGAGTAGGTACCCACATAGTGGGGGAAAGCTGTCCCCAACTTTATGCTGTTTTTCCCTCTTCTCGTCTTCCAAGTTGCATTAGGCTACATGTATACTACCAGATCTTACATGACTTGGTTTATCTTGGAAAAGATGTGTATTCTCAAAATGTGTGTATGGTCAAAATGTGTATGTTCAAAATGTGATTTATCTTCCTTTCCAATATGTCCAGAATCCATAGTAGTATATAGGAGCAAATAAACAAGTTAAGGGTTCAGTGATGATGTATGCCAACAGAGAATTCAGGGAGGAAAATCAAATGGGGTTGACTACAAATCGGGCCCAAAGTCCCTTGAGGTCATATCATAATATGTTTAATGAGATTCAACGTGCTATATTGTTGAGAGAACACTGTTCTAATGGCTGAGATGTGAGAAAAGTATAAAAGAATCACAACTTAAGTATCTCATTCTTTGATTTGAACTAGATAACTCTGTCCATTTCTTTAGTTAATTGTTACTTTTTCAGTATAATCCTTTTCCCATAAAATTTGTCTTGCTGTGACACTGATCGCAAAAGATGGCAGAATAAGGATAGGGAGATCTTATAAATCAAATGAAATAACTGAGGTGAAAACTGAAGAATTACACATAGTTTATACAGGCACGAACTATTCCCTGGGTGCCTACAAGAGAACACAAAATTGGAGAATGTTTTCCCTCCTTTACTTGTCCAGGGCAGAAGAGCAAGCTGGATGGCACCTGTTGTATCTTGCCTATTGTGGTCGGAAGGAGCGCACTTTCAGAGCTATTGTATCATGGTAGTTGATTTTGGTAAAAGACTGTATTAATTACCTTCAGATTTTTAGTATTTTTAGGTAATACATGATTGTCAATATTGTCGAATTCTCAAGAGAATTTCTTGTACCTATGAAGTGAAGTACTATGGAGATATAACTGACTATTTTTGTTTTGGGTGGCCCAGGGAACAGATGTTGCAAATACTACTCAGGATAACAGAAGCTGTGATGCAGAAGCCAAAGGATAAACAAATGAAGGATTTGTTTGCCCAGAGCTTGGCAGGGTTACTATTTAGGGTAAGTCCTTTTTAATTAAAGCACTGTTAATGCAACAAATGAATCCGATTTCACAGAAAATTAGTTTCAATCATTGAGAATTTTAAGCATAACATGAAAATGACTTTAAACTTCTAGAAATTTAATTAGAAATATTTCTTCTTACCTTTGTCATGGACATTGTGAGCTGTTCTTTACAATTAGTGTGGGTCTTCTTTGTGTTCCTCACCTCTCTGTCATCGACTTGCTTTTTGGTTTGCCAAAGTTGATAGATATTAGGAAGATGAAACGAGCTTGGTGACTGGCCAGATAGATTTAAAGACATAAAAAAGGTAAGGTGTTAAAGAAGTAAGGACATAGGAATAATGTTAAAGGGCAGTCCAAGCTAAAAGTAAAAAATGCAAGAGCCATTAGTGTGTAGTAAGAGGGTATTTCAAGCTACAGACCAGATGGGATATTTAGAGAGAGAATATATATAAAAAAGATAGTAGGGAACATGCGCATGATTGATACAGAAGAAGGAGCCAGTTAAAGATGCTGGGATGACCAGTGAGTTAGGAAGAAAACCAAAGAAATGTATATCATTATGCCTGGGGAAGGATGCTGGGTAAGAATAGCCTATTGTCCATTAGCCTTGATAAGATAAGAAACATGCAGCTGCCCTCTAGTTCTTTAATGCTTCCTCTCCCCACTATCATGACCCCAATTCTACCTTATAAATCCCACTTGACCGGAGCATGTACACGGGTACAGATAAGAGCTGGATACACAGGAAATCCAGGACAGACAAATCCCTCAGGACCAATATTGAAAGTAGCCATATCAGGAGGGGAATGGGAAGGTGGGGGGAGAAAGGGGGAACTAATCACAATGATCTAACTATAACCCCCTCCCGGGGGGATGGACAACAGAAAAGTGGGTGAATGGAGACATCGGTAAGTGTAAGACATGAAAAAATAATAATTTATATATTATCAAGGGTTTGTGAAGGTGGGAGAGGGAGGGGGAAATGGGAAGCTGATACCAAGGGCTCAAGTAGAAAGAAAATGTTTTGAAAATGATGGCAACAAGTGTACAAATGTGTTTGACACAGTAGATGTATGTATAGATTGTGATGAGTTGTACGAGCCCCCAATAAAATTATTTTAAAAAAGATATAATTGGTTAAGAATGTTTTAGGGGAAGATGGCCCACTTGGGGCAGATGGAGAAGAAAATGAGAGTTGGGCAGTAGGGACAGCAAGGTTTTGAAGAGGTATTGTGGAGGAAGTGAGAAAGAGAAATTGGATGAAGGGGGTGAATGGCAATGAAGTGTGATGGCATTAAAATATGTTTGTTCACCACATCTGTGGGGGAGAGAAGATATCTGCAGAAATAAAGTCCTGGATAAGATAAGAAGGCTGGCCTTAGGTCAGAGCAGAAAGCCAAGGACATGACTGTTTATTCTTCACTCTTACATGGTGAGAATGGTAATGGACATGAGTAACCAGAAAGAATGTTAACACAATTATTAGGAGGGAAAAAAAAAGAGAAGGGAGATCAGCTTATCAAGGAAAGTGTAGATTTTAAAGGGCTCAGAGGGCAGAAGGCTATTGCAACGTTGCTCTAGAAAAACACTAGTATTTATAGAATGCATACAATTTGTGATGCAGTGTTGAAAGAGAACATTGTGAAATGTTCTGGGAAAGTGTGGCATTTTACACAAGCATAGTCATTGATGGGTCTGACCTTATGTAATTGGCTAAGAAACTGTGGTGGCTGGAAGTGATGGTTTCAGGCAAGAGAACTAGGTCCCTTCTTCAATGGACCTGATAGTTTTCAAGTATATCTATTGACAACATACTTAGAAATATAAATAGGACATTCTTTGTGGATCAGTTTGTTGTACTGTGCTGGCTTGTGTATTTCAGTGATGCTGGAAGCTATGTCACTAATATTTCAAATACCAATAAGGTCAGCCAAAATGGACATTTTGCACAAGAGCTACAGACTATGAGGAAGGAATAGACTGTCTACTTCTGAAGAATTATCTACTGAAAACCGTATGAATATCAGTGGGACACTGTTAGATATAGTGCCAGAATTACCAATTTCTGAGAAAATAGCCACTGAAAACCTTAATAATAACAGTGAAAAATTGTATTGACCAGTGACTGCAACAATGGACTCCAACATGACACCAGTTGTGATGATGGCTCAGGACTGGGCTGTCTCTTTCTGTCACTGTTGGTTGCATTTGATTTCATAGTACCTAGCAACAACCTAGGGACAGAGAAACTAATTCAAGGAAATTGAAATACAAGGGAAATATCCCCATTTTAACAAAGGAGAACTTAGCTATTCATTTGTTTAATAGTTTAATATGAATGATATTGGTATCGATTGCTTTTCTCAGTTACTGGATCCAGCTATGCTTTTCTGTTGACCAAAGGTGACATAAGGACATTTACCTGAGTTAGCTCACTTTGCTGTAGTCTCAGTGTTGGCATTGGAGTTTCTGTTCTTGATGAAACTGCCTACCAGGGGAGGAACTGAAGCCAGTCTCAGGCTGGTTAGTGCCTGGGCCTAGTTCCTTATCGTTTGTCTAGCCCATTTTCTATTGTGTGTGTTGGAATTAGACCGCGTAAGCCAGAATCTGTTTTGGAGTTGCGTTGTAAATTTTGTTTGTTTTCTATATTGAGGGGGGAATATCCTCCATTCATGGAGAGCTTTTGCCAAAACTTGAAGAGTTATTTTGCATTTGTGATTGTTATTTTGGTGGTGTTATTTAGGTTACAGATAGAGCCAGAAGATGTTTAAGTTAAGACCTACCCATAAAATGTCCAAAGAGGATGAAGATTTTTAAGTTGGATAGTTCTCAGTTCTGATTCTCATGGCTTTGAGCAGATACTCTACTTTCCTGAATCTCTTTCTTCTTGTCTTTCATGAGAGGATTGCAGAGTTCTCATAAGGATTAGAGTGAAATCATCTGGTATTTACAATCATCTCTCAGTTTGCCAAGCCCCTTGTAAAATGCGAAGGATGAGAAAAGTATTAAAGGTTTGAGCAGATCTGCTAGCTATCAAGTGGGCATCACATTAGTATCCTACCCAGACTGAAATGTTATCTAATTATTATTCATTTGATCAAGCAGACTGTATAAATTTCCCCAACACTTGAAATTTTGTCTTCTAATAAAGAGGCAGTTAAAGGTGACAGGGATTTTGTTGTGTTTTGGTTTCATTATAGTCTGGGTAAAAGTTAAGAAAGCAAATTGAATTTCTACTAAACTCTTTATATACACATTTTGTTATATAGTTTTATCTGCATTTTCCTAAATGTAACAACATTCTTTCAGCTTCCTCCCTGTGTTCCTTAAATCCATTTATCTTCCTCACCCCTTCCTACCTTTTGAATGTTGTGTGGGGCCAAATGCTGCCCCTAATGTGGTTAACTATTTTGAGAAGTACATTCTTCCCTAGTCTGTTACTGTTCCCTTCATAGTCCTGTTTGGGTGAAAGTTATCCCCATAGGTGGGTATAGTTCCAGGTCTGAAGGGTATATTGCTACTGTTCCAGGTCTGAAGGGAGTCCAAGGACCACAGTCTTGGGAGTTCCTTCCACCAATCTCATTTTCTACATTTTTCTCCCATTTTGCTCTAGACCTTCTGTGGTCCTGATCAGAGCAGCTGATAGTTTTCTTGTTTCAGGGTAGGGGCTATGATTTGTGTGTCCCATTAGTCCTTTGAACTGCTTGATAACCTGATTCTTTGGTTTTTCTTTGTGTTTTTTTTTCCTTCCGGACAGGAAGATAAACCAATAGCTGCATCTTAAGTGACCACTCTCAAGCTTTTAACACTCCAGTCACTATTCATGACAGTAGGATGTAGAACATTGCCTTGTGAGTTGTCATGTGGCATTTGATTTAGTGTGAGACTGTGATCCTAAGCCCTCTCCTGCCCCCCACCCCTAGTTAAAAATAATGACAAACCTGGGAAATATAACATGACTCATTCCTTGGTTATGGCTAAGAAGTTTTCATACTTTTGCCCTCTATTTGCCCTACCAAATACATGAATATATTGATAGCACATACAAATAAGCATGTACACAATCCTCTGTCAAACCTGTATATGTTTTAGATATAGTCCCATTTGCCTGACCATACTTGTTAAGTTTGCATGTCTGCCAATGTATCCACTGGAGATTTTTATTAGTACTAATATTGAAGGATTGTATATGTGATAAATTTTACTTGTGTTGTCTGTGCCACTCTTGTGCACATCTCATTGTTTTCCTTTGTCTCTATAATATTTTGCTAGTCTCTATGTTATTATACTCATATATTGCCTTTTTCCTCACCCAAATTAATAGGTGTCTACTATCGATTCAGTGGTTTCTCATCCCCTTGCCATTCCTGGTAACCATAAAAAATGTTTCTTTTCTACATGTAAACCTTTCTTTGGCTTTTTATACTGATGGCTTCATATATTATTTGTTCTTTATTGGATTGATTTATGTAACTCAACATAAGGACTTCTTGTTTCATTCATGTTATAAGGTATTTCTCAGATTTGCCATTATTCTTTAATGTTGCATAGTATTCCATTTTGTCGATATACCATAGTTTTGTTAATCCATTCATTCATTGACAGGCAATTAGGCTATTTCCAACTTTTTTGTTATTGTGACTAATGCTCAATGAACTTGGGTATGTATGTGAGTCATGTATGTGTGTGTGTACATATTCAGTTCTCTAGGATATACCTAGTCATGCAATTGCAGGATTATATGGTCTTTCTATTTCTAACTTTCTGGGAAGTGCCATACCATTTTCCATAGTGGTTATACCATTTTATGGTCCTACCATTTTACGGTTTGAAAAGTTCTAATCTTTTCAACCCCCACCAGCATTTGTTGTTTTCTGTCCTTTAAAACTTTGCCATTATTGCTGGAGTGAAATGATAGCTCGTTGTTTTGATTCAAATTTCTAATGCCCAAGAAATGAGCTCTGGTGGCTCAGGTGGCTCAGTAGGTTAAGCATTCACCTGCTAACCACAGAGTCAGTTGTTCAGCACCAGGCGCTCTGTGGGAGGAAGATGAATTGTCTATATCCCTCAAAATGTATAGTCTGGAAACCCTGCATAGTATTCCGACTCTGTCCTCTGGCATTGACACTATGAATCAGAATCCACTTAATGTCAGTGTTAATGAGTGCCTCTTGACTGCCTGAATGTGGTTTTTGGTGATGTATCTATTCATTTTTTTCTGCCCAATTTTTATTGAATTGTCTTTTTGTTGCTGATATGCTAAATTTTTCTATAAACTGTAAAAATCAGTCCTTTGTCAGATATGCCATTGTCAAAAACATTTCTCCCAGTGTATGTAGTCCTTTTACTCTTTAGTGAAGTCTTTTGATGTGCATAAGCATTTAATTGTAAGAGGTTCCAGTCATCTAGTTTATCTTTTGCTGTTGTGTATTTTTAGTTTTGCTAGATAGACTATGTCATAAATTGCAACCCCTAAATTTGTCCCTATTTTGTCTTTGATGATCTTTATCATTTCAGGTTTACATTTACATCTTTGCTCTATCTTGAGTTGGGTTTTTTTGTATAAGGTGTGAGATATGAATCTTTCCCCATTATTCTGTAGATGGATATCCAGTTTTGTCAGTACCATTTGTTAAAAAGAAAGTCTCTTCCTTAGTCAGTAGATTTTTGTCCTTTGTTAAATATCAGCTGTTCATAATGGATGGGTTTGCTTCTGGTTTCTTAGTTCTCTTCCATTGGTGTATGTGTCTGTCATTGTTCCAGCACAAGGTTGTTGTGACTGTGATGGCTGTAAAGGAGGCTTTGAGATCAGGAAGTGGGAGGCCTCCTACTTTGTTCTTCGGTAATGCTTTCCTTATCTGGTATTTGTTTACCATTACTGTAAAAGATAGTGCTTGGTTTCGGTTTCTTCATCTCGCTAAAGAATATTTATGGAAATGGGGATTCAATTATATATACATATATGGATAGATAGATAGGTAGATAGATAGCTGTGGATTGTTGTTGTTAGGTGGCATAACATTGGTTCCAACTAATAGCAGCCAAGTGTTCAACAGAACAAGACATGCCAAGTCTGTGTCATTCACAGCTATCCTTGCTATGGACAGTGTTGACATTTTCACAATGTTACGTCTTGAAGATAAGAAATTTTAACTTAGTATTAACCTTTTACTTTTTTCCCTAATGTTTCCTGTAGTGTTTATTTTCTTTTTCTGCTAGTTTATAATCTGATTTAATAATCTCTTTCAAGCGATGGTTTGGTTTTTATTAGTTTAAAATATTTACCAATAAGGGAACATCCTTTTCCCATAGGATGATTGTCCTAAGTAATATTGTAATCTGTGCTCAGTGCTAAATATTATCTTGTGCTCAAAGTCCTAAAGGTTTCCCAAAAACCTTTCGTGAGAAATGCTACTAGGATTCCAGTTCATGTCTGCATGTTTATTCCAAACAAATGGCTGTGTAATAAGCAGATGCCTGCCAGCAAGTTCTTTAAGTAACACATTTCTCTTAGTCTTCTTAGAATGCCTTGGATAAAAGGCTACTAAAACAATGAAGCAAAACAAAGCAAAATCTCATTACCATCAAGTCAATCTCATGACAGACAGTGTGTGAACAGGACAGGTTCTGCATGGTTTCACATCAGGAAAGGTGTGCATCAGGGTTTTATCCTCTCACTATGCTTATTCAATCTGCATGCTGAGCAGATAATCAGAGAAACTGTATTATAAGAGGAAGAATGTGACATTGGGATTGGAGGAAGGTTTATGAGTAACCTGCGGTTTGCTGATGACACAGCCTTGCTTGCCGAAAGTAAGTAGGACTTGAAGCACTTGCTGATGTAGATCAAGGATGTCAGCCTTCACTATGGATTATGATTCAGTGCAAAGACTACCAAAGCACTCACAACTGGACCAATAGGTAGCATCATGATACAGGGAGAAAAGACCGAAGTGGTAAAAAAGATTTCTTCTTGCTTGGCTCCACAGTCAGTGCTGATGGAAGCAGCTGCCAGATCAGATGATGCAGTTTACTAGGTAAATGTGCTGCACACACTTCTTTTAAGTGTTGAAAAACAAGGAGGCTGCTTTGAGGACTAAAATACGCCTGACCCAAGCCATGGTATTTTCATTTGCCTCGTAAGCACGTGAAGGCTGAACTTCGAAGAAAGAATCAATGCTTGTGAATTATGGTGCTGGCAAAGAATATTGAAAGTTCCACAGACTGCTAAAAGGAGAAACTGATCTGTCTTGGGAGAAGTATGACCAGAGTGCTCCTTAGAGGTAAAGACGGCAAGCCTGCTTCTTACATACTTTGGACATGCTCTTATTGTCAGAAGAGACCAGTCCCTGGAGAAAGATATCATGCTTGGTAAAGTAGCAGGATAGTAAAAAGGAGGAAGACTTTCAAGAAGACGGTTGACACCATGGCTGCATCAGTGGGCTCAAACATAAGAATAATTGTGAGGGTGGAGTAGGACTAGACAGTGTTTTGTTCTGTTGTGCACATGGTCACTATGAGTTGGATCTGACTCAATGGCACATACAAACAACAACAACAAAGCATTGTTCAAAATCAGCTACCTCAGAGAGTTGATTAGTCTATAAATTGTTTAATTAAGATTGAAACTTAATGATGATTTAGTAGACCAAATTGTAACTAGGGAAGAGTCTTTGATTTACTAATATGCTTCTGAAAGCAAAACTCAGTCAAAACAATGTGTTTCAAGGAGATTTCCTGGGCCAGTTAAATTCAAGACAATGAAGTTAACTCACACACGTATGCTAACTACTTTTTTGAATTCCTAAAAGGCAAACTTGATAGATTATTTTTCCCTAAGGATATGGCGTAATCTCGGGGGCTTATTGGGAAAAAATAAAATCCTTGGAAACTTTCATGAGACAAAGACCAAGAAAGTAGCACTGAGGATCCCCGCCCCCAATCACAACAGTACACCTGCTCATTCTTCAAGACTAAGAAAGGCTGTCCTAAGAAACTTATCACAAATACTCTACATCCCCAATCTTGCCCCTTCAGACCCATTTTGGCTCGTAAGACTTAAAAAGAGCATGATTTAAGTCCCTTAATAATGCCAAATCTGCTGTTTTGATGTGGTATAAATCAAAGTGTGCAGAATTCTTTGGGGGGAAAATTACAGAAATAGTAACATTGTTTTCATAAGTATGTGGACCCAGATACAGAATGTATCAAGAAAAAAATAGCTTCACCTTTTAATATATTTTGTTTAATAAAGGTTTCTATAATTGGATAGCAATATTTGTACTCAGTCCTCTGTGTGTGCTTGTGTATATGTATGTATGTGTATACATATATATTATGTAATTTCCCATAATTTGCTACTATCAAGTCAATTCTGGCTCATAATTACCTTATAAAGAAATCTCACTGCCTTCTGGGGTATTCTGACTTATAACAATCCTGTAGGACAAGGTAGAACTGGAGAGTGTAAAGAGTTCAAGGGTTTTGGGGACTGTAAGTCTCTCTCAGAGTGGCTGGTGGTTTCAAACTACTGACCTTGTGATTAGCAACCCAATGCATAACCACTATGCCACCAGGACTCCTGTAGTGACCTTATAAGGGGGTAAAACTGCCCCATATGATTTCTATGGCTATAATGTTTATAGAAGCTCATTGCCACATCTTTCTCTCGTGGAGCTACTGGTGGGATGGAACTGCTGACCTTTCTGTTTGCAACCTGTGATTAAGTGCTGCATCACCAGTGCTGCTTTGGCAAGAAGATAGAGTGGTATAGAAAAAGCAAAAGGCAGAGCAGTTCACTGATAATTGACTGGGCGTTGAGGAAGGGGAGATGCAGTATGGGATAGTCTTCCAAGAATAGGGAAAGAAAATAGGTTTTAGCTAGAGTATGAAGTCTAAGTCTAAGTACAAGAAACTTTTGTTAAGTTGAGGAAGAATTGAGCATGTTTAAATGCTGATGGGGAAGACCTGGAGAAATAGGAGAGGACAGAGATAAAGAAGAGATGAGTTTATTAGAAACACAGTGTCTGTGAAGAAGAGGTCAGAGCACAGATGAGGAAATTGATGTAGACAATCAGGAACCTTTTTTGATTACAGCAAGAAGGTGAAGAGAAGCTAGATGTGAATGTGACAAGAGTGTGGGTCTCTTTGCAGATGGAGTTCTCGTTTAGTGGTTTCCCTTTTCCATACAATCTGCCAATAGTTCATTTCCTAAACATTTGGAAGACACACTTGTGGTGAGAGGTTTATGTATAGAAGATAGAAGAGGAGATTTAAAGTAGTCACTCTAGAGAGTAAAGAGCTTTCTTAAGAATAAGAGTTGCAGTCTGAATGCTTTCTCCTCTCTCTTAATAAAGCCAGACCAGCTATAGTCAGCAGAGTAATATTTAATGATTTTCTTTACCTAAAATAGTACAGTAACTATTGCCCAATACTCAAGTAATGATAACCAAGAGGAAAGCAATTTTAAAAAGCAGTTTTAACTTGTCACTTTATTAGCTGTAACTTGAAATATATTGTTAAATTCTACAACTCCTGAAAAGTAGCTAATTGAACGTTCTTGTTGGTTGCTTTACTTTAGACACTCATCGTTGCTTGGATCCGAGCAAACCTCTGTGTGTATGTATCTCGAGAGCTCTGGGACGACTTTCTCGGTGTGCTCTCTTCCCTAACGGAGTGGGAAGAGCTCGTAAATGAATGGGCTAACATCATGGACTCCTTAACAGCAGTGCTCGCAAAAACAGTTTACGGAGTTGAGATGACAAACCTACCTCTGGATAAACTAAGTGAACAAAAGGAGAAGAAGCAGAGAGGCAAAGGTATTTCCAGTCTCTTAGGCTCAAACCTATTGTCTGGGAAGAAGGTGGCATGCGCATTTATACATCTAAGCAATTAATGAATGAAATTTGATAATGAACTGAACCAGTCCATAGATGGTATTTTTGAAAGGTGGTCTTAGGTTGCCTCATATTATTATGTCTCCTTAATGAGGATGCTGAGTTGCTGAAGAGGCTGTGGAAAAAGGATGTTAAAGAAGTGGTTGTAATAGTAACAGCATCAGCAGTAACAATAGCTAATGCCTTTTTTATATAATCTCTATTTACTCTCATACTATCCCTATGAAGTAGATACTATTATCATTCCTGTGCTATAAACAGAAACTGAAGTACAGAGTTCAAAGTGATTGCATCCTTCAAAGACACATAACCAAGAAGTGGCAAACCCTACACTATTAACGATCCTAGGCAACATTCTTTAAGTTGAGAGCCATTTAGCTTTGTTCTGTTTCTGGGTTTGCATTAAGGCCTAAAGTCAGATAAAGTTTGAAAAATATTAGTGGTGGTTTCTTTTGAGGGTTTCAATTTGGTAGCCCCCCTGGCCTTCATTACAATTTTAGGAACCATGACACAAGTCTTAAATTAATCCGTTTGTTTTCTTTTTTTCTACAGCTTTTTATTGTGTATTAAGTGGAGGCTTTCAGAGAAAATCGGTTCCCCATCCAGAAATTCATACACAGTTTGCTCATGTCATTGATTACAATCCACATAACATCATTTATCTCATTTTCTCCATGTGCTTTCTATTTCTCCTTTCCTCGCCCTTCCTGCCTTCTGAACTTTTCCTTGAGTAGATGTTTCCCTGTGATCTCAAAGGGTTGGTTATTCTAAAGAGTGCATAGTCCTTAGTGTGATAGTTTACCTGATAGACCTGTTTTTTTGTTAAACTGAAAATTGAAACAAGGGAGGGGGTAAGTTCAGTTCCAATCCATAGTTCTACTAGTTTCTATCAGACCAGTAAGTGTGATCTTATGCTATGACATTAACTTTTGTTCCTCATTTTTTGGTCCCGCTTTATTAAAGACCTCTAATCCCTTTCTGAATGGTTGGTATAAATAACTGAGCACCATCTAGATCTTCTGGTCTCTGGGTTGTAGAAGCTGAGATGTGTGCTGTTCAGCTTTATTTCCATTACTCTTCTATTTTTCATTTTGCTTTTCTTTACTCTGGAAGAGGAGAAACCAGTAGTTGCACCTTAAATGATTATTTACAGATTTTAAGATTCCAGGCACTGTTCACCCAAGTAGGAGTTAGAACATTGTCTTTGTGAAATATGTTATGCCACTTAATGGTGATATCCCACAAGACTATGAGCCTGTGTCCCTAGGCCCAGTGACTCATTTCCTCAAGGTGTTTGGTTATGGATAAGAATTTTTCATAACTTCA